CATTTTATCAAACATATTCCTAGCTTTACAAATTTGTCCCTATTTCAGTAATTGCTTCAGCTCAGAGTTAAGTTCAAGCATATTATGAGCAGAATAGGCAATTGGAGCTAGATGTTCTTGTTTTGCTCAGAGTTAAGTTCAAGCATATTATCAAACATATTACTAACAAACCTCAGTTGAAACAAAAGCTAAAAGGGTGTTGTTTTAAATTGAAAGTTAGATAGTTAAATTCAACTCAACTTAACTTTCTAACTATAATTCAAACACCCACCACATGATCTAGAGTTTGATCCTTATCACACCCATTATTCCAACAAAAACAATTTTTTCTATCATCGAAATTATAATGATGGAACCAAGTTCAAACATAAACCAACAAAAACATTTAAGCACAAGATAAGTCGGCTCTTATGTGTTAGAAAAGAATGACACAATCCAAGAGGGGGGTGAATTGGATTCTATGACACTTTAAAAATTTTCAGAGTATTTAGGATCTTTATTTCAATTAAACTTTTCTAAAAATGAATTTTCAATGAAGTTTCTTAAAGACTTGTTATAGAAGAATGAATCCTATATGCTTTCTTGATTAATCAACAATGAGGTTCAAAGTTAATGTCAATATGTAATGCTTTGATTCAGTTCAAACCAATGTCATTCATGCACACATGCTAATCAAGAACAATCTTCTTTAATGCACAATCAAGATATTACACAAAGTAAAAGATAAGAGTAAGAGAAGATTGCACAAGTCTTTTATCCTGGTTCAGCCACTCAATGATTATGTATCACATGTTGGAGGCATAGAAACAAATGCTTCAGATGAATTCATTGTGAGCATTTGAAAGTTAAAAAATTATTTATAGAATTTATAGTAATTTCTTTAATCTTTTTTGTAAAAAATATTCCTGCAAAATTTCTTGCGAAAAAATTCGTAGGAAACTTTCCTGCAAATTTTTTTTTTGCAGGAAACTTTCCTGCAAATTTTCTTTTGCAGGTGTACTATCCGTACTACAAAACCGAGCTCCGAGCTCGGCATCACAGCGCAAGATGACCTCGGGCACGCGCCAGGCGACGTCAACTCAGGATTTAAGTGAATCGTAATTGATTCCCAAGGATCTCGCCCCAGATGAGATCCGTTATCTAATCACATTATATCTTATCTTCGTCGTCGTTCTGTCTGAGACTAGCCAGGGCCGGTAAGGTGATGTGGTGAGGTCGGCTCGTTGCATACTGCGTTGTGAACCGCCTGACCAGAGTGCTGAAGCTGTTGATCGACTCAGCGGGAAGCTGGGTGTACCAGTTGAGTGCGGCCCCCTTGAGCGAGGTCGGAAAAACCCTACACAATATAGCATCATTGTTAGTGTAGAGGTTTACCTGTGTCGTATAGAGGTCGATGTGCTCGTCAGGGTCCGTCGTGCCATCATAGTGATCGAGGTGGGGAGGCTTCCACCCCTGAGGGAGTGGTGTCTCCATGATGCCATCCACAAAGGGATGACGGCGAAAAGTTGCTTGACCCCCTATGATATGTGTTGGGGCCTTGCTGACTTCATGGGCCAACTTGTTCGTCGGTGCATGAGACCGATGCGCGACAGGTCGTGGAGTCGGTGCCTTGGTCGCGGCTCGGGGCTGAGAGACTGAATGCTCTTCTTCCTCGTGGAAGTTTCTTGCTTCAGGAGGATGATCGAAGGGGCGTCGAGGGAGCTGGGCGCGAATCCGCTCGTTTTTAGCATGTAGCGCTGCTAGGTCAGCTTCATTGGAGGTCCGCATTGTAGCTAGGTCGGTTTCGTGTTTGGCACGCATGTTTTGCAGATCGGCATCATGTTGTTGCCGCATCTGTTCGACCTGTTCGATCAGCCCTATCCAAGTCAGAACCATCAGTTCAGCAACTCAAGCATGAATTGGTCAGCCAAAATTACAAGTTATAATCCATAGGTCAGAAAATTAAAATCCAAAAACATTATCAATTTAGCTCACCAAAAATCAAGTATCAAAATATGATGAGATTCCTCTTGGAAATCTCAAGAACACTTCAAGCCTTCACGGAATTCCTTGGAAGAACTTCAAGGATGGAGGCTCCAAAAGGCTTCAATGTGACCTAGGTTTGCATAAAGCTAAGTTCGGAGAAGAAATAAAGGTCCTAGCTCTACAAGGAGAAGCTCTCAAGAAAGGTAGAGTCTAGGATCAAGGTGACTTCGGAGAAGGTGAGTTCTAATAGAGAAAAACTCATCAAATATATCCAAAGTGAATTACACGGATGGGTCATAAGGATTTATAGGTGAAAATTAGGTCAAGGTAACCATGGGTTAGCCTAAGGTTAAGTGAAACCAAGGTAGGGTTCACTTAACCCTAGGCGCCTAAAATTTGAATTCAAAATTCAAATTTTGGAGCCTAAACCCGGATCACCCATGTGCAAGTCATTTGGAATGTCATTAGACTTCCATTTGAGTTGCATTTCGGATCACACCATGTGCATGTGTTGCACATGGCCGAAATGCACACCAAATGTGAATCTAATTACATTCTAATGCAACTACACATGTAACCTAAATAACCCTAAATTCAAATGACCTTCAAATGAAAATCCTAAGCTAAATGGCCGTGAATACAAGGCCTAAAAGAAATACAATGCCATAAGGCCCAAATCTATACTACCAAACATAAGAACAAAATGAACATACAAGATAGGTCCATGACAAGCTCAACTTGGACCTCTCAAGCCCATTGGGCCTATTGGGCCTTGACTAGCCCAAACTTTCATGCCTAGCCCACTCCTCTTGACTCTTTTAGGATGTCTCCTCTTGCCTTCTTAAGCATGATTCCATCATCCCCTCCCTCTTGAAAAAGATTTTTCCTCAAATCTCGAGAATGCATGGAATAAGAATGATCACCTATATACACAACATGCCAAGTATAGAAGGTAAGATTTGCATGATAAGAAAATGAATTATAGATCCTAAGAGGAATCCTTGTATCTGGCCTAATAAAGAAAAATAAACTATCAAAAGTAAACTCCCTAAAAGTAGAAATAGGATCCTCTTCTAAGTATAACCTAGAATGAAATCCTAAAAATGTAATGAAACTATGGTTAAGACAATGAAAAGAATGATCCTTAAAAACTACAACATCTTGCCTAAAGTACCCTAAATGGTAACCTAGGCTTTTCCTAAAATATAAATAAAAGACCACTAGAAAACGTCCTAAACAATTTTGCATTTGATTGTTTACTAGATACTCACAATCATATAAGCTATACTTGTCTTGTAGGGAACGAAACATATTAGGTTCAAAAGAGTAAGAACTTCCCCTAAAAGCAAACATAGAATATAGATTTTTACAAGTTGTATCTACTAAACAGTGTAAACCAAAAATTGGGTGCTTTATTAAGACCACAGAAATACTTCCTCCCTTGTGCACCGCCAAGGAAGTAGTATAAGGAGTAAAACCAAAAATAGTCCACTCCTTCTTCACTATATCTTGAAGTTGAAAATTCGGTATTTAAAATTTATTTTGTTCTTTATTCTCAACTTTAAGATTAGTGGCAGCATGAGGATAAGAGTCAAGACTTTTATGAATAAAGAGAGTTCTTTTCAAGGCTTGTTTAGTAATAAAATAATTCTCCTTGGTCACAAATGCCTTAGTGGAATCCCCTTCATCCTCACTCTTCCCCAAGTGATTTTCTTTTGTTTCTTTATTTCTTTTTCTTTTTATTTGTTTCCCTTTCTCTTGCTCACGTTTGGTCTTCATTTGTAC